AGTAGGTATTGTGATTACCTTTAAAACTTTACTGGCGCATCATATGAACTAAAATTTAAAAATGTACATAAGAGCTAACTGCTAAAATCATTTTCTTCTAGAGTATATATTTTTTCACGATTAAAACAGTGCTGTTAAAATTGCTATTTATCTAGACAGAGTATACATTTCTTCATTAACGACCAAATATTTTCATAACTATAGTCTTATTTTAAGTGGCATATTGCATAAGTAACATTTGAAAATAATTCATGGAACTTTTAATTTTTCAGATCTGCATCGTTAAACTACAGAGTGTGCTATAAGCTCTATGACGAATTTTGGCAAATTAGTCCAAGCATTATAGAGAAATGCTTACAGAAATTATTACCTGAACAAAAAAATATGACCGTATAGAAAATTAAATTTTAAATTGAATTTCTTATTCTTTAAACTCGATCCAAAATGGCGAACATGGTTAAAAAAAATCGCAAAGTTGCAAATAACGGTTTTTCTAAAATAATTAAAAAAATATAGCACTTATTGAAAAATAAATTTTAAATGAGAAAGTTGTAGGTTTTAAAAAGATCTATTTATTTTTTTTTGTAAGTATCGATTGCTTTGTTACTTTTCGAGATATATCGAAAAAACCATTAAAAATATTCTCTTTTCTCTTCTTCTATAACTCGTTTGCATTTACGTTTCCATATTTGCTATTTACTGCAAGCCTAGCCCGAGGCAAGCCAAAAAAGTACATTTTTGAAAAATTTTAAAATATTAATTATTTTTCAATATATCGATTTTTTGAAAAAAAGGCACTTTCGAAGATTTGCTAGATCTTCTCAGCGGATAGTCCTACAGTAACGATTTTCGGTTTATTTTATTCGTAAAGAGTTATATTATCATGCTGTTAAAAAATATTTACGATTTTATTAATTTTAAGGATAAAAAAATGACTGAAAAAGTTGCACTTTTTTTGGGTACGTTTTTTTCAAATAACTATTTCAATTTTTATTTTATGAAAATGACTTTTAAAGAAACTGCTGACATTTTTTCACGAATTAAAAAAAAATGTTTTTCTACGACCTTCTGGAGCCGTGTTAATTTTTTTATTTAAAAAAAATTTTGAGGACGCAATTAACATTTTACAGCGATGCGCCTGATGGAGGTTATTATTGAATACTTTTATTTAAAATAAAAAATAGTAGGATATGTTTAAATGATTTTTATTATTAGTAAAGGAGTAATAAACTGAAGCCTGCAAGCGCTGAGTGCGTCAGCTGGAGCAGACGGAGAAGTAGGGGGAAGCGGCGCGCCCTCGTTCGGAAAACTGATGTGCAGTGTAAATGGCTAGCGCTTGCAAAATCTTTGATATCTCGGCTTCTGGACCACGTACACAAATTCTTTTATAGTTAATCTGGTGTAGCTAAACACGAATATTATAGTCATTTTCGCCTTAGAAGCAAAATAGTCCCGTAAATGTTTAGTTTTTATTTAATTTACATTTTTTGTATTTATCGTCATTTTAATAATTAATAATATTACAGTATTTTTCGTGTAATACCTTAATTTTTTTGCTTCATTAATCATACTGACGTTGTACTTGTTGCTGGCTTTTTAACAATTACTTCATCATTTCAATAATTAATTAATTTTGGTGTAAAATAAGTTTAAAGAATTTAATTTATTTACAAAAATATTTAATAATTATACAACTATGTATAAAATATCTATAAAATTATTACAATGAAAACTAACAAGTATCCTATATAGATAAAATTATTTATCGAATGAAATTCTTCTTTTCTTTATCGGATTGTCTTTTGATTCATTTTCTTGTTCGTCGTCTATATTTTCGTGAAGAAGTATAATAAAATAAAAAAAAATATAAGTTAAATAAAAACTAAACATTTACGGGACCATTTTGCTTGTAAGGCGAAAATGACTATAATATTCGTGTTTAGCTACTCCAGATTAAGTACTAAAGAATTTTTGTACGTGGTCCAGAAGCCGAGATATCAAAGACTTTGCAAGCGCTAGCCATTTAGACTGCACGTCATCAATTTTCAGAGCGAGCGCGCGCCGCTTCCCCCTACTTCTCCGTCCGCTCCTGCTGACGCACTCAGAGCTTGCACGCTTCAGTTTATTACTCAATTACTAATACTAATCAAGTAAACATATCCTACTACTGTTTTTTTGAAAATATAAGTATTCAATATTAACCTCCATCAAGCGCATCGCTGTAAAATGTTAATTGCGTCCTCAATTTTTTTTTAAATAAAAAAATTATCTCGGCTCCAGAAGGTCGTAGAAATCATTTTTTTTTAAATTCGTGAAAAAATGTCAGCAGTTTCTATCTTTAAAAGTCATTTTCATAAAATAAAAATTGAAATAGTTATTTGAAAAAAAACCCAAAAAAAGTGCAACTTTTTCAAAGTCATTTTTTGGTCCTTAAAATTAATAAAATCGTAAACATTTTTTAACAGCATGATAATATAACTCTTTACGAAGAAAATAAACCGAAAATCGTTATTGTAGGGCTATCTGCTGAGAAGATCTAGCAAATCTTCGAAAGTGCCTTTTTTTCAAAAAATCTATATATCGAAAAATAATTAATATTTTTATATTTTTCAAAAATGTACTTTTTTGGTTTGCTGCGGGCTATGCATACAGTAAATAGCAAATATGGGAACGTAAATGTAAACGAGTTATAGAAGAAGAGAAAAGGGGAGATTTTTAACGGTTTTTTCGATATATCTCGAAAAGTAACAAAGCAATCGATACTTACAAAAAACAATAAATAGATCTTTTTAAAACCTACAACTTTCTCATTTAAAATTTTTCAATAGATGCTATATTTTTTTAGTTATTCTAGAAAAACCGTTTTTTGCAACTTTGCGATTTTTTTTAACCATGTTCGCCATTTTGGATCGAGTTTATAGAATAAGAAACTCAATTTAAAATTTAATTTTCTATACGGTCATATTTATTTTGTCCAGGTAATAATTTCTGCAAATTTAACGTTAATCCGTGACAATGCTTGGACTAAATGGTAGCTGGGCTAATTTCAAACATTTTTTCTTATACGAACATAGGTCCAATACGTTTTTGTTTAAAAGAATAATTTCACATTTCAATTAAAGTAACCTGATAAATAAAAATGATAGTTGCTATAACAATAATTATTATTTGTGTTTAAAGTTTAAATATTAGTTAACCTTTATTAACCAAATTAACAAATCCTAAGACTATAAAAATGGTTCAAAATGTCAACCCTCGGCTCGAATGCAAGGTGAGGACATCATCCAACTAAGATTCCGTCACTCGACGAAGGAGCTGCATCTTGAATTCTTTCAAGTAACTGCTGACGGGTAGTGATTTCAACATGGTAGACAAGCTGCTTCATATGTCCTCATAAATAAAAGTCTAAAGGATTTAGATCTGGGGAACACGGTGGCTATGCTATTGAACCTTGTTGACCTATCCAAACAGTTACTTGTCTCTTTCTATGTGGTGGTGCACCATCGTGTTGATATCACAAATTTTGAACAATATTAAGCCCTACGTCAATGAAATCAAAAAGGTTGTTTTCCAAGAATGCTCTATGCAGGTCTACATTTACACGATCATTTAAAACATTATTGTTGAAAATGCTGCCTCAAAATTGACACTGAAACGTTGCTGAAATTGTCTTGACCTAATTGCATGCGGATTTTGCAACGACCAGATATGTTCATTATGACTATTATTTATGCCGTCCCTAGCAAACATGCTTCATCAGACCACAGGACAAACGAAATGAATCTATCATTTTGTGCATGTTGTTGAAGTAACCAGCGACAAAATTCTAATCGCTAAGGAGCATCTCCAGCATGTAACGCTCCGGATGTAACATTTCTCTGCTCAATACACGCCATACAAAGTTCGGTGACAAATGAAGATTACTTGCTATATGCCGAACACTAATTGAATAGTTGTCAATGACAGCATCTATTATATCTTCTTCATATTGTGCATTCACTTCAGCAGGATGAAGGCGTTTTTTGGAGCGGGGTTACCTTCTTCTCGAAGTCTACCAAATAATGCAGACTATGGGTAGGTGGATGTCTATTTGGGTATCTTCGTCGGTATTCTCGGGCTGCTTGTCTGGCGTCCCCACTGGAATACCCATATACCTACAAGGATAATATCTGCATACTCTTCAGTTGTAAATAAATGCATTTATTTAGCAATTTAGCACCAAGTGTCAAATGAATAAACAAAATGACATAAATAATAATTATTGTTATAGCAACCATCAACTTTATTTACGATTGAAATATGAAATTATGTTTTTTAGAATGCTTGTAACTTCTAAACAAAAACGAATCGCACCTATGTTACCATCTGTCAGAGTTTGTCACAGAACTTGTAGAAGACTCTGTATAACCGATGTCGAACAAAACTGCTTTTGTTTCTTGAAAGATGTTCTTTCAAAAAGATTAAAATAAAAAAACCTAAATTATCCGTTGTATCCTGTTATTTTTCCATGGAATTAATGCAATCGATTACCTAAACACTTATACTGAGTTTCATTTAGATTCGATTAGGCGTTCTAAAGTTATTTTTAAAAATGTGTTCTTGACATTACACATTTATATTTTTTTACTAAAAATTTTGGAGGTCATGTTTTGCTCAAAATTACATTTTCTGAATTTTGTTTCAGTTTAACACGATAATTCAGAAACACTTCGTATATTATTTGTTAGGTTCTTAACTTATGGACTTTCGATAATAATCAGTTTAACAATGATCATTATCAATTTATTAATTTTAACATAAATACTTATAAGTTCATTCCTAAAAAAATATTTGCAAGCCACTGTACACAACACCGACGGAAATAATGGCAGCGCCACCTGCCACGCGCTGAACCCTGTACGCTAGTGCCGTGTCACCAGCAGAGGGGAGCCCAACCCAGCACGTCATGACGCGCGTTTTGCGCTGCGCATCTGTCTCGGTAACGTCAGTGATGAGCCGAACTTAGTACGAGCGTGTTGCGTTAGCGTCAGCGTGTCAGCGTGTAAAGTTTGACGTTGTAAGATGGCGTCTGATAGCAGCTACTTCAAAACGATCAATTCCTCGGCGCTTATTGAGGAAATCAAGCAGCACCCCGAGCTCTACGACCCGAAGATTTCCAACGGCAACCCGGAGATGAAGCGCCACGGCTGGGAAGAGGTAGCCGAGGGGCTGTTCGACAAACAGTGGGTGATGTTCGCAGCGCAGGAACGAGAGGCGATAGGTAAGCGAGCGGCTGTGTTGCTTGGCGCGGATCTCAGCCAACGCCGCGTGACGAACCTTGGTGCGTTCGCTGACTCACAGGTTTGCGGTCAGATGGTTATAGATTTCTAGCACGTTCACTCGGAGAAAGATTCATTCGGCATATTTTATCATTATCAATTATCAGCAATAAAATATTATTATAATTTATTCATTGATAAGTAGATACAGCGAGTGGGCAGTTCATTTTCAACTGCGGATATTATTATTATACACATTTATTCATTTATTACTGTTTTGCAATTTCTAAATATAAATCTTACCTCCATTTTTAGGTCTCGTCAATTTTAAAAGCTCTTATTTGGGACTAAACGTTCGCTATTGCACTCTTTGTGGACGATTTGTTGACATATTATGTACCATACCTTATCTGTCAAGGCAAAACATACTTACTATATGATTTATTAGCGTTATTTTTCCTTTACAAATACATTTCAAACAGTATTTCTGGAAATAATATAATGATAAAAAATATGAAAATAAAAAAAATATGAAGTACTATCTAAAGAAATATCAATACAATTAAAAACTCATTTTTAGTAGAGTTAAGTACCTACAATCGGTTAAGTTATCTTTTAAATAGATATACAGGGTGATTAGTTAGTGATTAGAATGTAGATATGTCTCGATATATGACTTCGTAAGTTCATATTCCCAATAAGTATCCAAGGTGTTTCCTACGTGTTATAACTTCACAAAGTTAAACTTATTTTATACCAAAAAGCATTAATAAAACGAAAGGTCCCAAATCATTGGTTTTCTAGATACAAAAATGTAAGACTTATTCAAATATCTTTAAAGATGTTTGATAAGTGGTAAAACTGGTCTAACAATTTACCTAAGTAAATGAAAAAAGTCGGTTGAATTGGTTTACAAATATGTGTATCAGTGGTGGATATACTGGGACACTATCATCTAAGAACAAAAATATATATTTTTTTAAGTTGCGTTGCAAGAAAGGATTTCGTTGGAGTTTCAATGGTTACATTTTATATTGTAATTAAGTGTAATGTCGAAATAAAAAATTAAAAAATTAATTTAAATTTTGTGAAACAAATAGTTTTAGAGGAGATTTTGGACATATTATAAATTTATTCAACCGTGTGATGGGACAAGCTTAGTTTAAATTTAAAAAATAATAATTTAAAAGTGGTTTAGTTTTCAAATAAGGTGAAACTGTTTCCTTAGTCACGACATTAGGAATTAAATGCATTTATTCAGTTTACAAAATATTCAGTATTCTGGTATTTTTAGTGATAGTACCTACACCACAACAAAAAACAACATCTAACATTAAACCAAATATTTTCAGAGATATTGATATTATTTTTAACTTTAACACTTCTTAAAAAACAATGGATTCAATAAGGTTTTATGTCTAAAATAATATAACATTAAATCTACACTGATTTCGGATTATTGGAATTTTATCGTTTATGCCTGGTTATTTCTTTAATTTTCTGGTTTTCAAATCCGTACAATAACAATAGTCTAGCTAGAAACTTCTGTCGACTGCTAAAATAAAAACGAATCATAATTAAATTAAATGAAAGAAATAAGTATTTTAATAGACAAAATGCATTTGATGAGAGTAAATCAGAAACAAAACATCGATTGACAAACTGATATTTCACGAGGAAGTGCGGAAAGAATTGACAGAAAAAATTTTTTTACTCTAGCTCTGATAACAGGAAAAAAAACAGATTATAAAAACGAATAATTAGATTTTTTCGAAATATCTTAAAAACTATAATATACAGAGTGATTTCACTTTAAATACAAAAACTGTAGGAATAGATTAGTTGCCAAAAAATAAGTAGAGTTTGCTTTATAAACTTTTTCCTGGTGAACGCGGTATTCGCGATACAGGGTGTGCAAGTTTCCAAAAAAAATTATATTTTCGGTTCATATCTTCGTATTACGCTGAACGATTTGTATGAAATTTATTACAGCGTATTTACGTAATTAAACCTTTTATTGAATGTAATATTGACCTCGTGGCATTAACCAGTGACGCGCTACTAAAGGTGCCGTTCCGTATTTCCAAGAACAAAATACGCTACTGGCAGTTTTTTGTAGAAATAATATTGAATTCAGGTACTGTTACGTTAAATGAATGAAAAGAGATTCTTGGCATTTTTTAATAGTAGCAGCCCGAGTATCAGCCGTTTAGGAGACAATTTACTTATTTGGCGACCATAATGCGCAAATTTAGTCCATCTACTCATATTTGATTAAAATCCATCAGCAAAAATTGTATCTTTTGTCTGCATTATCAGTTAGTAAGCTTTACGATGATCTCGTTTTAGTATTATAACTAGCTTCGTTTATGCTGAAGCTGCAGTTCTTATTGGGCTTATGAACACGAGACGAATATGGCAAAGACTAGAGGAAAATTGTAATCTCCTCAGGGAAAATCATGCTATGATAAGTTCCTCTATAAATAGATTAGAAGATGTCAAAAGTGTATCGATGCGGAAGGATTTCGTTTTGGAATTGTTGTAGGACTCGTTACTTTATTACTTATTCGACCTATTTGCTAATGTCATTTTATTATTTAGTTGTGATATTTTTTCCAGAAATAAAATTATTATTTTTTACAAAAAATCGCCAGTGGCGTATTCTTTTCTTGGGAAAAGTTGGCGGATGCTTTAGTAGCACGTCACTAGTTAAAACCAGGAGGTTTTCATCAAATAAACGGATTCATTTATAAGGAAAATTCAATAAAACGTAAAAACAAGCTCAAATGTCTCCTAAACGGCTGCTACTATTAAAAAACACCAAGAAACATTTTTCATTCATTTAACGTAACGGTACCTGATTGTAACATTATTTCTACAAAAAACCGCCAGTGGCGTATTTTTTTCTTGGAAAAATGGGGCGGCACCTCTAGTAGCACGCCACTGGTTTAAGCCGCAAGGTTAATATTACATTCAATAAAAGGTCTAATTAAGTGAATACGCTGTGGTAAATTTCATTCAATTCTGTCAGCGCATTATGAAGATATAGCAGAAAAAATATATTTTTTTTGCAAACTTTAACACCCTGTATCTCGAATACCGAGTACCGCAGGAAAAAAAGTTTATAGAGCAAAGTCTACTTATTTTTTGGTAATGAATCTAGTCCTGCAGTTTCTGCATTTATAGTTAAATCACCCTGAATATATTTCAGATCTGTTCACCCCATTTCACGGTTCTTTAATAACGTATCGTTTTTCAATTTAAGTCCCACCGTATATTTTCCGTTTTCAATACAGCTCCTTTTACATTTGACAGAAACCATTTTCTCTTACCCTTTGCTCAAATCCCGCTATAATTGGCCTTTTTCAAGTTTTTTGTTATTTAAAAAAAATCGAAACAAAAAATTATTTTAAACTGCTCTACCTATTTCTTTAGAAATTTTCTTGTCTTGTAAAATTTCGCTATTTGCCTAGATTTTGACTAACAAAAATCTTATTATTTATATTATTCTAATTTGTCTGACCAGAAATACCTATCTTACACTTTGAATAACAAAATGTCAAAGTTATTCCCTTGAATTCCAACATAATCTGTCAATTTAGCCATTTTGCTTTGTTTAAAAGTATTCCATTTTATTCTGGGTTACTTCGTCATATTCTTGATTATTCCAATAAAACTAGGTACAATAATTTCAACCCCTCGAAAATAACTCAAATATATATTCATTTATACATACAAAACATTTTTTGTGTTCTGTTTCGTAATTAGTTACGAAAAGTCCTGATTTTATTGAACCGAAACTTAATAAATTATTTTTTTATTATTAATTAAAATGTGCAACTTGCGTCAATGAGCTATAAAGTAAATATATAGTATAATAGACTGTAATAATGGACTGTCCAGTGACAACTCTTTGAAATATTTTGTATGTATGTAACATATAACATATGTATGTATGTACCAATAACCACAGCCACACAAAATTTTTTTTCATATACCTTAAGAGATGATACTTTCTGTATTTTGACCTTCTGAAGACGATGGAGCCATCAGAAATGCTCCGTCACGTCAGGATTTTTCCCTAACTTGAAAAAAAAATAGCTCAAAATCAGTGGAAATATCGATTGTTTGTTAAAATAGTTAAGATTTTGAAATTGAACACAGACGTGTCAATAGGGTCAAAATAAAAACTTCTTATTCCTGCACTTTTTTCTTTAAAATGCCTCCATATTTAACCAATTTTGAGCATTATTAAAATGGCTATAACTCAATAATATATTTTAGAGAAAAAAGTGCAAGAATAAAAAGATTGTATTTTGACCCAATTAATGCAATAAACCGCAAACCTCTAAAACATTTCCTTCTTTTTCAGTTCGGGAGCTGCAAGTCAAATGGAAATCCCTTCGCGACAACTTCACGCGAGTTCTGAGAAAAGAAAAAGAAGAAGAACAGTTAGGAGGAAACCAGAAACAGAAAAAGAAGTATATATATTTCGATCAACTGAAATTTCTCACACCTTATACCAGTTTTAGAAAGTAAGTGAAACAAACTCATACTTTTGACTAAACTTTCTATTACTTTATTTCTGTGACAAATACATGTTTCATTATTCTTTTTGTAAGATTTAATGTGTTTAGTTTATAGATCTGTACAATCCATTAATAGGTTTACTTTAAATTCCAAAAATTAAGTTTAATATTTAAAGAAAAACTGCACCTTTAATCAACTATGCAAGCTTATGCAACCAATGACAACATTATCTAAATAAAATTCAAGCAATTTCTGTCCTTGGTAGAATATTGGTCTCTCTCTGTACCTGTAACGGTACTTAATACATATGCTTATCCAAGGCCAGCAACTTAGAAAAAAATAGACTGTATGTATAAAGCCGGCGGCCTAAAATTCGTAGTCAAATAAGAAAGTTTAAAATCTCTACAACTCTGCTTTTCATGTTGATTTATGTATCTAGAAAAAGTCTAGAAAGTGCAATCATATGACAAATTGTAACTAAAAATTCACAGTTTATTTAGGTCTGACAGGTCGATAATAGATTTTTTACTTAATTTACACTGGCAAAATGTTGGATCTCTCTAAGTTGACTAAAGATTTTAGGTCGGCGACTTTATACAGAGATGATACTTAACACCTTTTCAGATAAAGATTAAAAATTGTAGTTTAGGATGAAGCTGGGAAACAACTACAGCTCTTTTTGAAACATACTGAATTCATATAAATAAAGACGTTAAACAATCATTGAGAAAAATGTTTTATATAGGCAATGCTGTCACATTTCTTATATAATTTTTTCCTCAATTTCCATTCCTTGCGTTTCTCTTTTATGTTTAAAAAGGCTTTGGTACTTCTAACTCTTCTGCAAAGAGCAGTGGCTATATTTTGCTTAATTTTTCATAGGTAGTAAGTTAATTTTGATTAATTCTAAAAATATTCCTGCAGTTCTAATTAAATTAAAGTACCTACCACATATAAAGCTATAAAGAAACAACTTTATAGACAAATTGTCAATTTATCAATAAATATCTAAAATAACAACAAAATGAAAAAAAACCTGCCGTGTTGATAACTATGTTATTGTAAATTTTCGAAAAATAATTAACGATGATAAATGAACTATTGCTGCTTTGTTTTTTCAAGTGTCATCCTTAAAAAAATAATTATTGAAGAGGATGGTTATGGAATCAATCTTGTTCTTCATGTCCGCGGATTGAGTTTACAAGAGGACAAATTGATCAAAAAGTGAAAGATGCGAAAAAGGCATTCCTGACAAAAGTTTTTGCTTGTTTAGAAAATACGAATCATTATGATCAACTTCAATTTGATTGTACAGGATGGGTCAAAGACACAAAAATGTTATTTTGCGTAAGAGTAAACATACTCGTACCTTATTTTGCAAGATACGAAAAAAGGCATTCCTGACAAAAGTTTTTGCTTGTTTAGAAAATACGAATCATTATGAGGAACTTCAATTTGGTTGTACAGGATGGGTCAAAAACACAAAAATGTTATTTTGCGTAAGAGTAAACATACCTTATTTTGCTAGATACGAAAAAAGGTATTCTTGATAAAAGTTTTTGCTTGATAAATGAATGTCACGTTATCAAAAATTTTATTAAGTATTCTCTAGAACACCTCTAATTCCTATAATAATAATGACGCTTAAGGACATACTTCTCATTGTCTTTAATGAAGTAATTATTTAATGTAAAATAGTTCTCATCGAAATGCTATCTACTGAGCAAATTTGTAGGAATCCCAATAAGTCGGATGGCAATCTGCAAGATAACAAAAAAGTTTCAATGAACTGGTTCGGATAAAAAAATTTAAATGGAAATATTGATTTTTATAAGTTTATCATGTTTTCTGATGAATGTACATTTTTTGCTTATGGAACTGTAGCATCCCAGTACGCCAGGTACTGCTCTCCAGAAAACCCTGAATTTAGAATAACGACATGAAGACATATTTTACAAAAGTGAACGTACATGCGGTGCGCGATATTTGTCCATTGCATTATATGCCCATATTTTTACAATAACATCTGCAATAGAATATCGTACTTAGAAATGCTTGATTTACCATTAAATTTTGGCCAAAAAAATGTATTTTCTACAGGATGGTTGCCTAGCACATTCTGTTTGTGAGGTAATAAATTGGCTTAACCATAGATTTAGTCCAAGAAGGATTGGTATTGGTATTGGCAATTTTATGGCCCCCAAGGAACCCTAACTTAACCATTGCCGATATGTTTCTGTGGTGCCGTTTAAAAGAAATTGTTTATGCTACCCCAATACTATATGTATAATATTGAAATGCTAAAAGTGTTGTTGTAGTTATGTTCGTATTATTTAAAAATTACACTTGAATAAGACGTATTTTAGTTTTGTACCTTTATTCCCTGTATAAAAAATTAAATTTTTGATAACGTAAATCTTATTAATTTTTCAAGCAAAAACTTTATCAAGAGTGACCTTTTTCGTATCTCGCAAAATGAGATGTTTTCTTTTACGCAAAACAACATTTTTGTGATTTTGACCCACCATCTACAACAAAATTGAAGTTCGTCATGGTGATTCGTATTTTCATCATATTGCTGTGTTTACTTGTTTTTAGCTTTACTGTTGTTGTAATTATGTTCATATTATTTAAAAATTACGTTTGAATAAGACGCATTTTAGTTTTTTGTACTTTGTTCCCTGTATAAAAAATTAAATTTTTGATAACGTGAATCTTATTAATTTTTCAAGCAAAAACTTTCATCAGAATGTCCTTTTTTCGTATCTTGCAAAATAAGGTATGTTTTCTCATACGCAAAATACCATTTTTGTGATTTTTGACCCACCCTCTACAACAAAATTGAAATTCGTCATGGTGATTCGTATTTTTATCATATTGCTGTGTTTACTTGTTTTTAGCTTAACTGTTGTTGTAATTATGTTCGTAAAATTTAAAAATTACACTTGAATAAGACGCATTTTAGTATTTTAGTTTTGTATTTTATTGCCTGTATAAAAAAAATAATTTTTTAATAACGTGAATCTTATTCATTTTTCAAGCAAAAACTCTTATCAAGAATTCCCTTTTTTCGTATCTTGCAAAATAAGGTATGTTTACTCTTACGCAAAATAACATTTTTGTGATTTTGATCCAGCCTGTACAACAAAATTGAAGTTCGTCATGGTGATCATATTTTCTAAACAAGCGAAAACTTTTATCAATAATGTCTTTTTTCGTATCTTTCACTTTTTGGTCCAATCCGCGGACATATTGTATATCAAATCCTTTTTCTATTTGCTTTAAATTGATTGGTCTCAGGAAACTTGATTTTAATGTTTGTAAAATAAACTTGGGCAGGTACATTCTAATACATTTTATATTTAGATATGAAAAGCATATTTATATAAAGAAAAAAACTACTGCTTAGGCTCATAGTTTTTATTTTGTCTTTTAAAAGGATCAACTAATGCATTTGGAATATCATATGTAATACCGTAGTGGTGTGCGTTATTTATCCTTCAACTATGTTACGTACTCTCAGACGAGGAAGAAAATTGAAAAAAATCAGGAAAACATTAAAAAGAATTAATGTTCAAATAAATATTTTAATAATTTTATGTCCTAATAGCGAAATTGGAATATGTACTAAAAATTAATACAATATTACAGGACGCAAATGAAATGCTTGGCTCAACGCTAGTAACAGATTCTATGTCATAAATTAATAAAAAAAAAGTTTATATAGATATGTGTAAGGCTTAGTTCTTGAAATATATCGGGTTTAAAATTAATGAAAATATTTGGTTCATTTCGAGTTGCAAATCACAACCGTAACTTTAGTAAATAGTGCTTTATTTTATTAACATAAAACAGAGTTATTTCAATAACTAGTATATTTATCTAAAAATGATTTGATGATTTGACACTTTAGCAATAATTACAAAGACATTGTTCTATTGATCAATTCTGTGTGTCAAATTTGTACTCAGCTGTTTAAAAAAACATTTTAGTTTTATTTTATGTTCCAATTTCCATATAAAATATATAAAATGCTTTCACGCAAGTTTTCAGGGTTAGGTTGAAATTCTATATATTCAGAATACCACGTACTTGAGTAGGTATCCATTTTCATTAACCTGCAACACGCACAGTTGTTTCTCTTGAAGTCAGTGGGCTATGTTTGAGCTACATAACTTTTCAACAGAACTAAGCATCGGTTTTTGCTATTTCGACCTATTTTTTGAGGTTAGGAAAAAATCCTGGCCTAACGGCGCAATTCTGATATCAAACTCGTATTCAACGACTCGGAATACATGGTCAGGGGGCTCTAGTCTAACGAACATGAAACTTGTTTTTGTCTTTGTTACTGAGGCAGTTGTCATTTATCTCAAAAACGAAAGTAGCAAGAATAATATTTTGTAAGATCTTTGGTCATTTGCCACAATAAACCAAATTTGAAGTAGCTCACAAGAATTCAATGGAAGTAAAAATTTCTTCGTCCACCTTCAAAACTATTCTGTTTGTAAAAAAAATTTAGGTATATTGAATAATCAAAAGTTAAAATTGCTTGCTAAATTTAAATGAAATCACTTTTTTTCTAGGTAATTTAAAAACGCCCATTTTTTTCAAATTTTGTCAACCAATATTTTAAAAAAGTAGTTATAGAAACTTTTTTTTTTTGTTAATTTGTGATTGTAAAATCGTTAAAATTTGGCCAGACATTTTAGTTATATGACAGAGAATACGAAAATAAATTCTAAATTCTAATTTGATTACCACCGTTGGACGTTGAGTGTAAAAACCAGAGGAGGGAGGGCAAGCATCTAACAGTTATTACACACATCTGGCAAAGCAAAATGTGGCGCCGTTACGACGACGGCATTTCGTAGGTACTTTGCCGAATGTGGGAAATGTGCGAGACTTTGACATCAAAGCAGATATTATTAATGGAATTATTATTATTCTTTTTTTCAGGAAAGTGGATAACGTAATTTATTTGGACGAAAACAGAGACAACGATTCCTTCCAATATGCCTCATCTGCCGAAGAAAATCCTCTTCAAACTTCCTCGCAAGACAACTCTGTGCAACCCCTTCAGTTTGTTCAGATACAACCAAGACCGTCTGTTCAAATGTCCAATATTTCCACAACGGAAGAAGAAGACAGTCCAACTGCAACCAAACGAATAGCGACAGTACTAGAAGAAATCGTAGCGATGCAAAAAGAGGACAAATCTGACGATATCATGGGAAATAAGAAATTCCTCCTGTCGCTACTGCCCTTCATGAAAAAGTTGCCAGATGATGTGAATTTGGAGGTGCGTTTGCAGTTGATGAGTGTATTACAGACCTATACAAGTGGAAAAAGTATGTTCCATTAGTGTAACAGTTTTTGTCTGATAGTGTTATATTATAATGTTAAGAAAGGATGATTTGTGACCATTTTTTTTTCTAATAAAATTGTTTTTCTATAGCAGATTTATTTACTAAAAGAGGTAAGGTAACAAATATTAAACAATTAGTCCAATTGAAAATTGACTTAGCTTAGAAGATTACGCAGGATGTCCGGACACAGAAAATGGGTTATACTTCACGGGAAGTTTTGGGAAATGAAAATAAACCAATTGTTTAAAAAAATTTCTGTCACTCACTAAACTATCACTTTTGAAGATATTTGATACACCATTCAACAGAAAAATCCAATTACTATATTTGAATGACAGGCTGTGGGGGGTTTCTGGTATAACCAAAGAAGAACATGTGTATTTTTTTATTACATAAAAAGCGATAGGAATATCTAAAGCAGTTTCTTGCCATATTATTTTTGTTGTTAGAGATTTAAAATTAGTTTTATGAAACATTTTTAGAATTAAGACCATTGCATCTATTGAGTCCGAATAGAGATGTTAAGTTAAACCTTAAAAAAAAAATTCGCATTATACTGTCACCGTATTAAATCTAATGTAAAATACATAAGTACAAAATCATCGCAGACAGCGAAAAAACGACGACATCGCTGTCATCAGTCGTCAGTAAAATTTAGATAGTGAGAGACACATAAATACGAATCGACTACTGACTCTCGGACCACGGTAAAATCATAAATCAGACTATTATTTTAGTATTAAACCATTTTAGAGTTTCTGTGATTTTTTTTACAAAAAAAACAGCAATAGGGAGTTCTCCGGCCTTCCCAGGAGTCTCACTAGCCGCGGCTTCAAAAAAATCGCTCAACAAGAATCCAGTAGGAAACGGAGGCGTAGACAATACAGACAATTACAGCAAATAAAGTGCAGCATATGCCTGTTCTTATATCTGCAGCAAAAGAATATGACAAAAATACAAAATACTATTTCAGATAGCGACCCCTATACCTATTTTAGGTAATAAATCTTGAACAACTTCAAAAACCCCCTATACCAAATTTCATCGAAACATTTTGAAGTGATAAAATTAAATAAAAAGACAATGAAATTATTAGAGGAAATATATGTATCTGTTATAATTCAAAAAACCAAAAAAGGATATTGATTGTGATTTTAAGAATTACTAAAATTTATCTCAAATAATTTTGTCCATTATAACATAAACAAAAACAATTATTCACAAGCTATGCATTTAAACATTATGCCTTAGCACGGCAGAACTATCACTGCAGCACGAGATAGAGTAATCATAAATGGACAAAAAAGTTGTATATTACAGAGGCGTAAGATTAACAGTTTTCAATATACAGCAAGTATTAATATTGGGGAGTTTCATCACAACGCGACAACAACGCTTAACCTAACACTACACAGCTGGTGTATACCACGTGTGCAGGCGGCAGAGTTGTCCTACGGAAAAAATGTAAACTTTTATTGTGAAAAATTTAGTAAATTTCAAGACAATTGTTTTCCATAAAATAAAATGTACCTATCGATTTTGTAGTACGAAAATAGTGTTGTACTTAAATTTTAGCTCGAATTTTAGTAATTATGAGTCTCTTAAAATAGGAACTTATCAAATTATGAATTTGAAAAATATGTAATTAAAGTACCCAAAGATTTACGTCATCCAAATAATCATACGTATTAAAAATAATTTAGGTACTTACCAAAAAGCAAAATTCAGTAATTTTTAAACGCACAAGTACAAAACAAGCCACAACATCTACTCAAAATGTTCATCACCATTTTCGATGCACGCACGTCACCTTCGAATCCAATTTTCGCGCACACGCTGGAAACCACCTTATGAAAAGGAAATAGTGGTACACAAAAAACACTCAGACATGGTCCAATTCCAGATACCAACTGAACTGCGTAATGCTGGACAGCTTAGTGCCTCGTGTTATCCGCCGCACCGTTGTCACATTGCTTGATGTGAATTTTATCGAATTGTAAATTTATTACAACACTAATTACTTTTTATTTTCATGTTATCAAAATCTGTAATAAAGTTCAATAATTTATTACAAAATACTCACTATGCTGGGAAGCGCATAATCTCATCTTTCAGTCTTGCAAACCATACTAATTTAACAAGCCAAAGTTTTAACGCCTCCAAAATATGTCGGTTACGATCAGAGTGACCCGAAACAAAGAAATGCGCAGTTGATTCACTTTACCTCATACGATTCACTTTACCCCGATTGACGGTAATAATTCACAATGCACAATTCCATTAAAGTTGAAAAAACAGTGAGTATCACCACAGACAAAAGCTATACTTATTGTCTGTGGTATCACATTGACATTGGATCGACACTGTAGTGCTCTCTTGGGGCGTGGAGATCATTTGTCAATCCATTGTGATTATCCTCAACGTTATAGCCGTAAACCCAGCTTTCGTCTCCCGTTATAATTCTTTGATTGAATATTTTATCGTCAAGGAGTTGCCGACAAACGTCCAGACGATTTTCTTTGTGTTGTTCGCTCATCAGATGAGGAACTAATTTTGGTGAAACTCAATGCATGTTCAGTTTTTCAGTCAAAATTTCATAACATGACCCAATTTACCTAAGCTCTTCTGAAATCAACTATATGCACGCACCAGATCTTTGATTTTCTTTCTGAACGTGGGAGTCATCAGTTGGTCTAACGCCTCCCTGGTCAAGAATCACCTTCAATTGTTTGACGACCACTTTTAAATCGTGAAAACTATTCGTAACATTATGTACGATCCAGAGCATCATCGCCGTAATTTGCACGGTTTAGACCGTAGTTAAAACAGTGTACTATGTGGGCACAAGGGTCTAAAATTACTGAAACGCTGCCCTAAGCGAAAGTGATACTTCACGCGACTGTTGGTTATAAACTTAAATTTGATATTTATGACCAACAATCCTTTAACAACTTTACCGGTTTAAAAAATGAACGGAAAAAAGTAATGTGAAAAAAAATTAACTAAAAATGTGTCCTATATCAAGAAATTATGACTAAGTTTATTTAAAAAAAGCGGCTATCGCTAGCCTCTATCATTTAAAAGCTAATTGTTAAAATTAAATATAAAATATGACATAAACAGAACGTGAAATAAATAACGTTTTATGATATTTACTACCAATTATTTAAATGTATATACAATTTCATTTAATGGTCAATTATACACCAATAATCGACTATCACTTCGTTAATACAGTTAATAGTTTTAATTTGTTATTTAAATCACACTCCACTGTAAGTACATAATTGTTTTGTTTTCTGTTCATTAAAACAAGCGAATATTTAATATTGCAGATGTGTGGACACGCATTCTGCGTTAAGGGTAAAAACGTAAGTAATTATTAATAATTATTACTTTATGAATCGGCAGAGTCGGCTTAAAGGAAAATGCGAAGCTAGAACAACTGGATATGGGAAAAAATTATTCAAACGGAAACACCAACACAAAAATCCATTAAATACTGAAAAATTGCTATTATTTATTGTCATAAAAGTATTACACATATTTCGTACCTTTCAATAGAGTTCGTTTTATTTTTGGGGATAGAAAAATACAAAAAAAAATTAATTGAATGAATCTTCTGTGAAATGTATGAAGCATCAAAATTTTGTATGAGGCGGAACAAATGAACAGATGGCCAAAAGTATCAAAATAGACAAACTTGTTTTTTAATGGAATACTTTACGATTGCAGTGATATAAGGTTTGATGTTATAATGTTATACATATGATCAAAAGAGTGTACCGTAAATATAACTATTAGTTTATTAAGTGTGTCTCAAGGCTCAAAGCTTGGACCACTGCTATTTTCAATTTTTATAAACCATTTAATTGAGGGAATAAAATGCGGCAAAATTGTATATGTCGTAATGTTAAAGTCTTTATGAAAATAAAGTCCTTTGATGACATCAAACTTTGTATCATTGTAACCCCAAGAAAATATACAGTGTGTCCCCGGATGGGGTACCGCACTCTTCTAAACTTTTTTATTGTTGATATTTGAGAAAAAGTTATTCCTGACAAAAAATTTTGCTAATCTTGGGAAGCCATGGTCAGTAATCAAATAAGTATGTAACAAAACATACAGGGCGTCTAAAAAATTTCAAAATGTGAAATTTTCGTTAAGCATAGTGCCTTTAATTTTTGTTTTCTTTAAAAACTGTATTTAACACAGTTGTTCAAGAACTCAAGTGCTTAAATACGAGGTTTACTCAGAAAATAATAATAGTAACATTTTGCAAATAAAACCCGATGCAATTTTTAACTACCTTACATACCTTATAAGTACCATGGATATTTCCTTAACAATGTCATAGTCATGTCATACAGTCAATGTCATAGATATTAGCAGAACTCATATTCAAAGAATTTTAGTATTCAACAAAATCTATCCATTCAAACCAGTGTTTAATCATAAATTGCTTGATGGATATGATGCTCGTCGTTTGGACTTTTGTTTAACAATGGGCGAAAAACTGATTGAAAACAGATTCTTTCATCACAATATTTTATTTACTGACGAATCAACATTTACACCTAATGGTGTGGTTTCCTCTCAAAATTGTAGATACTGGGCTAAAGATAATCCAAATTTTCGATTAATAACTAATAGTAAAAAATTAAAAATAGTAAATGTCTGGTGTGGCATAATGTATCATTAAATAATTGCCTTACTTTGGAAGAAAATCTTAATCAATATCGTATTTGGAAATTTTCAATAATTTTGTTTTGGCAGAACTAGATAACGAAAATTTTGAGTTCAGAAGAAAACTGATATTTCAACAAAACGGATGCCCTGCACATTCTACAATTCTAGTGAGAAACTGGCTTGACGTTCACATACAGAACAAGTGGATCGGACGCTATGGACCAATACCTTGACCTGCACGGGCCCGACTTGTCCCTATTAGATTATTTCTTATGAGAATACCTGAAGCAAACAGTGTATTTAAAGAATTTTGACGATAACATTGATTTATTTAAGCAAATAATTCAGAAAGCTGTTGCCAC